TAAAAAGTATTTATTCCTTATTTTTTAAATCACTCAATAATCAATTAAATTGAAATATAATTATATTAAACATTAATAGTAAAAATGTAGGTCATTAATAGGGAGAAGTGACTCGGAGACTTCAGAAAACTTCTTAAAAAGATAACTATGGGGGCGCCTGGGTGCCTCAGTGGGTTAAAGCCTCTGCCTTCGGCTAGGGTCATGATCCCAGGGTCCTGGGATAGAGCATGGGAGCATGCGGCTCTCTGCTCAGCGGGGAGCCTGCTTCCTCCTCTCTCTCTGCCTGCCTCTCTGCCTACTTTTGATCTCTGTCTGTCAAATAAATAAATGAAATCTTAAAAAAAAAAACATAACTATGAACAGAAATTAAAATAATATCTGTTTTATGTTAATTACATTAAAATGTGACATAAAATAATGAATACATTAGCATTTTCTTGGTTGTGAACTTTAAGAGCTATTGATTGCTTAAATACATTTTAGTCAGCCTTTTCCTTTGGGGTCAAAATAATTAACATCACCATATATATATCCTCTTCAGGAAATCATGGACTTGAAAAATTAACTTCATTAGTGTATCTTATAGTTCATTAGGCTATCCTATAATTCCATATCTAAAATCTACCATGGGTTAAAATTTTGCTTTGCTTTTGCTTCAAACCCCTCAAAATTTCCCAAAGATATCATATTGCTAAGGGGCAAAAATATTTAAAAAACAGCTATGTAAAAAATTGCCAATACTTCATAATATTTTAGGAAAAAATGCTTTTTGGTGTCTGAAGTTTTATTTAGATTCTTTTTAAAGATTTTATTTATTTATTTGAGAGAGAGAGAGTACAAGTTGGGGGAGGAGCCGAGGCAGAGGCAGCCCCAGCTCAGGGCGCAATCCCAGGACACAGAGCTCATGACCTGAGCTGAAGGCACACACTTAGCCAACTGAGGCATAGAGGAGTCTCTATTTAGATTGTTTTTCTAAAGACTGTTGTTTATGTTTTCTACCATGGTTTAATGAGTTTTGGGCAATCTGTGCTAATATTATCTGTCCACACACCTCACTATTTTCTTGATTTGGCCCATTGTCTCTCCATTATACACAAATTGTATGAACATTTTTGTTTATATGAGACAATCTTTTTCCCCCAAAAATGCTTATATAGGCTCCCTTGTTTCTTATTTTCTTCTATTCATTTATCTGATGTGTACTACATTATTTGGCTAGCTGCTTTTGGATTTAAGTAAACCTAAAGATTAGAATATTTTTATTTATTAATTGTTCCCATTAATGCAGAATTTGGGGGCAGTCCTCTCATTCTCTCTCTCTCTCTCTTTTTTTTTTTTTGAATAACTGATTATCACATTTATTCTTCACTTCTGTTACATTACAGTTTTTTTTACACAGAGTGAGAGCCATGGGTTAAAACTGTGTTGTCTTATTAGCTGTGAGACTGTGGGGCCACTCAGATTGCCTAACCTCATTTCCTCAGTCTTCTCATCATTAACATGGGGCTAATAATTACACCAACAGTGTGGTTGAAATGTCAGTATTAAGTAAAATAATTAATGTAAAACATCATGTAATAGCACATTTTCAGTAATTACTAGCAATTCTGTTTATTATAATTGCTTTTGTTGTTCCACTTTGAATTCAGTGAAGATATTCAGGATTATTAATACATTGAACTTAACTATAGTACCTTTTATAGGGTAGTAACCTTTCAAGGTGTCTTATCAAGGTGATTCTGAATTTCTTTTCTTTATGAAAGCTTAGCAAAAAGCCAAATCCACAGTGAAATCTAGAGAGACATCAGCTACTTTCACCTTTTGAGGCCACAGCAGTTATCCCAAGCAAGAGAAATGCGAACAATGGGACTTTCAAGCCCTTACTGAGGTTTTAGCCTCTTCTGGTGCAAGGTAGTAAAGTATGAAGGAAAAAGACAAATCTAGTTTTCATGCAATACTGTGGTCCAATGTCAGTATGCTAAGATAGTATTTACATTCCAAGAAAACAACACAAGACCAGATATAAGTTCTCTTTTGAGACTGAGGACCAAATGAAACCATCCTAATTGCCTTGATTAACTCTTTCATTGCTGTAAGTGGGGCTCCATTTTATAGCTGTTCATTCTTTCAAGGACATATGACAAATGTTATTAAAAAAACATGATGAAGATGGCTGCTATTTAAGGTGAAGAAAATTAAGGAGTTGGCTTTCTGTAACCTTAGTCACTTAAAGAAGACTTAAGTATTTTGGGTAGGAGATAATTACCCACCATAGTGAATAGCGTCCCAAGTTTTCTTTGACATACCCAGTTTAAATTCCTTTCATCCCAATACATAAACTTATAGTTGTTAAATAATTGGTTCCAGTTTTTCATTCAGAGAATATTGCCATTGTGTTGACTGACATACATCATAAGCTATGGATACTTTGAGAAGGAAAACCAAATCACTTATTTTTGTGACAAGATCAGTCTTGATTACTTATACTCTTTGGACACTGGGAAGGATTTTAGATGAGAGACATGTGTGGGAGGGGAAGGGTTAAATATTTTTAGGGGGTGAATCTTCTTTGGGATGGAATGCCAGGCATAACAGTGAAGAGGTATGAGCTATTTAGGGAATAATGAATTTCAAATTTTAAGGTAAAGTAAAACAGAAAATTTATTTAAGATTTTTGTAGTAGAATACTTTCAATGCCAGGCTGAAGAAACTGAAAAATTCTGTACTCAACAGTAAGTAATTGGAGATAGGTGAACAGGGTAGTAACATAGAAATGCAAAGGATATGGAAGTAAAAGGAACTTGAAGATCATTTTCTCCAAATCATTTTATTGATGAGGATACTGAGACCTATAGAAGTAAAGTAGCAAGCTCAAAGTCCCCTTAAACTGCCTACGTTCCATAATAGCATTATTACGTATCCCTAGGTTTTAGATAACTTAGTTGGTATTCTGTGTAGATATTTTTAAGTAATTCAACCATAATTTGGAAGGAGGAGTTTACATTTTGAATGGTCTTCAAATAGAAATATAAAATTCAACTTTGTATCTCAACTTTCCATCAGGTTTTTTGCCAAACTGAAAGGCTGATTCACTGCCATTTCTTTAAATTCGCTTCATGCATTTGGAGCACATTATAATAGAAAGAAGCTGCTTTTAGATTTCTGGTGCCAAAACATTTCAGAAAAAAAAAAAAAAAAACAAAGATGAGCTTCCACCTCTTTATAAAATTGCATCACTGATTCTTTATTCTTTCATCTTTATTACAAATATTTAAACAGAAAACAAATGTCATCAGCTAAAGATGATGAGAAATTTGTTGACAAGACAGACTCAAGATGTCAAAGCTAGTGAGCAGACTCCCCTTCATGAGATGCGAATGCAAACCCAATCTTCACAGTAGTTACTAGACCACAAATTAAACAAGATATCTTTCTTCCAAACTCACACTTTTGGTATATGTTTTATTTGCAGTATTTACTACAATTGCCCTTCAGATGTATCTCTTTGAAAGAATGAATGAGAAAGTTGAAGAAAAAATATCAAAAGCAAGAGAATACATAATAAAGGTGAAGCATAGAAAGTCAATTCTTTTACACCAGTTTTTTGGTAATTAATTTGTAAATCTCTCAATGCAGTAGAATACACGAAATTAAAATAGTATTTTTTAAACCCTGAAATTATTTGACCCGTGCTAATTTCGCCGGAATGAATTGCCTATAGCTGCGTATCATATAATTTCTAAAGTTCTGACACATTCTATCAATGAAATTAATGAATTAAATGATCACATCGTCAAGTACCTGGCACACTACAAATATCAGTCAGTCAAATTCGTTGACTCCCTGAAATTTCAATTATAGTCACGGTGTCTATATTTAGAAATTCTACAATTTACTTCTGAAGGAAGCGTTGACTAATTATCCCATCCCAGCTGCCAAAGTATTGGAAGAATAGAAAGGGGGAGCAGCAGCGAGCGATATGGGTGTTTGGGAAACTAGCCACGGACCAGCACAGCCCGCGAAGACGTGGTTATGTGACGACAAGGTGGCTGATGCCACAAGCCCGCGATGCGCAGCAGGCACGGTGCCAAACCCAAGGACCCGCTTCTCCAAGGGCTGCCGGCGGAGCCTAAGGCTCATTTCCCTTCCTCCTCCCGGGAGCCCCGGTGTTCGCAGGCACCGTCCAGAGAATTCTTCGCCCCAATTATCCGGGCAGGAAGACGCGCCTTTCCCGGAGACCGCTAGGCAACACTCACCACGGCAGCCTCCCGACCACTTCCCTCCGCGAGTGTGTGACTTCGTCTAAGCAGCTCACACTTACAGTAGATGCTCGCTGGCGAGGCTGCGAGCAGCAGCGGGCGGGGGAGCTGGCGAGAGGAGGAGGGGGGAGGAGGGGAGGTGCAGAGCTGGGAGGCAGAGGAGACGACGGAGCTCCAGACCCAGCAGGAGCGCGCGGTGGCGGTGCAGTTTCCACCGCGTCCTCCCAGCCGCGCGCGCGCCGCCTCCTCCCCGAGCCGCGGGGACCGCCGCAGCTCCGGGCTGCTGCCGCCGGGCTCCGCGCTCCTGCCCGCTCGCCGCCGCCAGGACCTCCCCTCGTCCGCACTCAGCCCGCAGCTGTTTCCTTCTGCCAGGCTCCGAACTCTCCGGATCTTTTCCTCGGCTCGCCTCGCTCGTATTTTCTCAACTCCTTTCCTTTACCCGTAGCCACCCTGTCTTTTCCTCCTCTTTTTAGTGAGGATCTTCCTTGACTTAAGATGACTTGTCGCCCTTCCCTTCATCATTTATTTCAGCCCTGAAGACTGAAAAGGAATCTTTATCTTCCCCTCAGGGGCGTTTTAAAGACCCCAATCCTGAAAAGTCTTAAGAGGCAGAGAAGCGGGGCGCGGGACCCTCTCGACACCCTGGTGTCCGGTCCAGAACCGCGCTATCAGCCATAGCTAGTATTTAATGTAAGCCCCACCGAGGAGAAGGGAGGCAGGAGAAGGGAGGCAGGAGCCGGGAGCAAACTTCGGACGTCTCCGCGCACCCGCGGTCCCCGCATTTGGAAGAGCCGCGCGCCAGAAGGCAAGGGACCCCACGGGGAACGCGAAGGCACCGCCAGCCGCCCTCGCCCCCTCCGCGAAGCCGGGGCCGTGGACTGAGACGCGCGGGACAGCCGCGGCGGAGGCGGCCAGGAGAAGATGCGGGGCTCGGGGCCCCCGGGTGCGGGACGCCGGAGGCCCCCGGGCGACGGCGACACCCCCAGCACCCCTGCATCTCTGGCCGGCTGCTACTCCGCACCTCGCAGGGCCCCCCTCTGGACTTGCCTCCTCCTGTGCGCCGCGCTCCGGACCCTCCTGGCCAGCCCCAGCAACGAAGGTAGGTTGGGGGTGGGGACCGCAGCGACCGGGGCGGAGGGGCGAGGCGGGGCCTGGAAGTGCGGGTCGGGGCGGTCTGGACGCTGCCGCCGAGGGCGAAATCTCCCTCCGCATCGCGAATTCACATGTGTCCGGTTTCGCCAGCCTTCTCGCCCCGCTCTGCTGTTTCTGGGTGCATTGTTTGCCATTAGGTGCGGGGCGCCGGGCGGGGGACCCGCGTGCGGACCGAGGCTGTTTGGGGGGCGGGGAAGTTGCACGCGGGGGAAGGCGAGGTCCGAGACCCGCGCCGGGAGGCTGGGTGCGGCTGGTTCTCACTTGGAGCGCGTGGGGAAGTGACATTTCGGGCTTGGAGGAGTGGGAACTGTTCGAAGCTCAGCGACCACGATCTCGGGAGCGGGGGGCTTAGAAACCGTTATTTGAGGCCGGCGATGGGAAATATTGTGGGGGTGACTGGCTGCTTTTATTTTGGGGGAAAGTGCCTGCTGGAAGCTGTTATTTAGGGCATCGCCAGCTGCTATTCCGGGGTGGGTGGCGAGAGCTGTTATTTCTCGAGGGAGGGGAATGGCGAGGGACAGAAGGCGCCCCACACTGTGGCGTGCCCTTCACTTTGGGGGCTCTTCATCACATCGAGGTGAAAGTGGAAGAAGGCGGGAAGGTGGGATGCGGCGGGAGGCGGAAGGGGGGTGGAGTGTCGCTGCCAGGAAGTTGCTGCTCGAACCCAGTAGGGCTCGTGTCTCGGTGTTTGCGTGACGGAAAGCCCCGCTCTGGCCCGAGCCCGAGCCTGGAGTCCCCAGCCCTCCTCCCCACCCCCAATCCTGCGCTCCGGACTCTGAAGCCGTGTCAGCCTTCGGCTGGGCGGGAGAGTCGGCCCCGCGGGAGCAGCACCTCCGTGGCGCTCGTTGCTCCCGGAGCCGCGCTCAGTTCCCGGGCCCGCCACAGCTCGGGCGGCCGCCCGTGGCCCTGGGTCTGCTCCCGCGGCGCTGGCTCCTCTCACACCCCCGCCGCGCTGGGGCTCAGCTCAAAGGCTCGCTCCTCCGGAATGGAGGTGGGGGGTGTAGCATCTCAGATCCCGATCCGGGCTGCCGGAAGCGGTCAGCTCCACCGTGGAAACATCAAAAACCCTAACCCCCGGCTGGAATACTGGGGTTTCGATTTGAATCGGCTCCGCAAGCCACGGGTGAGGCACAGAGCCTTGGAAAAAAAAAAAAAAAAAAAAAAAATCCCTTCCACTCCTAGGACTGGGGACGCTGGACCAGAAAGATGAAGCAGCAGCCTTCGGGGTCGTGCATGTCCTCGTGACTTGCACGGGTTGTGTGGCTGCAGGGGAAGGCGCTGAGCTGGTTTAGGAGCGCTGCCAGCTCCCTAGGAACCGTGTGAAAGCGGGGCCGACTGCTACTCCCGGCCCCACCCCACCCCACCCCGTGAACTTCTCTCTTTAACCCTCACATTTATTGTTTTAAATCTGATTTAAAGATTCTATGTAGCTCAGTCTAGCTAGCTCGCTAGCTATGGTAATCTCTCATGCTTAACCCCCTCTGCATCTTTCCCCCTTCTCTGCAAAGTTGAAAAAGTGTTTGCAGTCATAGTCGTTTTATTAACCTCTCATGTTAGATTCATGATGTTAGAAGTCCCGAAGATGGTGACAGGGTTTGGAGTCCTTTTATGAACTGTCGTATGCCACCGGAAGGGGCATCCTGGTTTGGATGTAAAGAGTAACAGGGATAGTACTGTCATTCATCCTGTCCTGTTCCCATTGTATTTCATTTTTTCCCCCCAGGTGTGATGAAGGAAGTGGTTTATGTAGAGATGAAGGGGGGTAGAAGCTTTCCGTTAGGGAAGGAGGAAAAATGTAGTCTCCAGGGCCAGGACTGCGCCTGAGAGGAAGAGGCAGAGGGAATGCGAGAGAAGCTAGGAAATAGCACTGGGCTCTTAAGGTGATGTAAGCAGAGCTCAAATCTTCTGGAAGGTAGACTGGTTGATATCACAGACATAACAACCACAGGTTGTGTTGTCCTTATGCCAGCTAGTGGAACACACAGCAAAACTTTGGCCATAGTGAGGTGGGGATTGCAGGGGTCTATCACTATTTCACATAGTAGGAAATAAAATCGTATTAATATATATGATTTTACCTCATTCATTCCATTTCTACCCAACAGTTTTCCATCTTTCCATTGGTATCATCTCAGACCATTACTTCTGTTCTATAAAATGTATGCTCCCCTTTCTTTTTGTTTCTCCATGTGTTATTATAAATCAAACAATACTATATTAAGATTCTAATAATAGGAATTTATTAATTTGTTTAAAGATTCCAATTGGAGTTTTTAAGTTTGTTTTTGATTGTTAATTTCTGGAAGGTCTTTGGAAGATCAGGGGCAGAAAAATTTGATGTATGCACAGCATCCATTAATAACTTGCTGTCATATACTTTGCCTTCTGCAACCTATAGATACTTAGTGACTTCCCAGACTATAGTGTGTGTGTGCATATATATATATGGGTGCATATATATATAATATATATATATAATATGAATATACATATATATATAATATGAATGATCCCATTATGTGAGAAAAAAAATCAAGGCAGATAGACATAAATGTGACTTTACATTCACAATTTGTATTCTAGTCATTTTTAAAATTTAACTTTGGTAGACATAAATAAGCAGAACTGTACAGGAAAGGCCAAACATACATCTAGAATCTTAAACTGAGATGGAATGAATGTTAAGATATATTGGATAAAAGACAATAAGAAGAAAATGTACTCTTTAGACTGATTTCTAAGATAAGAAAAAAATACGTTGTCTTTTTACATATATTAGGCATTAATTACATGTGGAAGAAACCTTTGAACTCTGGTGTAATACAAGACACTTTTATTATAAAATAATTCAGAAGCATATTTAACAAGAAACAAGCAGGGCAAACATTAGCAAGTATATCAACAAGTGAAAATGTTAATAGATTTAATAAGTAAAGAGAGCATGTCCACTGTTATGAATATTGGAGGTGGCCCTGAACTTATTCAGTAACTGCCACTTTTTGCTGTCTGGAGATATATTTGTAAACAAGCATTATTTGACAAGTGCTTTTCGCAGCAGGGTTTCTTGGCCAATTACTGCTGAACAGCTCTGCATTGAAAATGATTCACCCGCAGTGAATCAAGCTTAATTCATTGAAGCTACAGTCAGTGATGTCCCAGTAAAGTGCTTCTGACAGTTGTCAGCACTTAGTATTCGAAAAGTCCAGTTTCTTGTTCCTGATGTTTTCTATGTTTGAGAAGGTGGGGTAGAGGGACTCTTGGGGGAAAAACACACGTACACACACACACACACACACACACACACACACACACGGTGAAGACATTTTAGGCTAAACTCTTAAAGAATCATAAAATTGTAGATGTTTCCACTGGAAAGAAAGGAAAAAAAGAGTTTGTTTTAGGGTTTTTTTTTTGGTTTATAATAGGACCAGGCCTATAAAACAAATTGAAGGACATACTAAATTTGTAAACTAAATGGCTTTGTTTTGTGGCCTTGTCATCCTGTTATAATTCATTTCCTTTTAGATAAAACGGCAGGACCCCACAGAAAAGGGTCAGTAAAATCATTCCCTCACCAGGACACTACTGAACAAAAAAAGAGAGCAATTACCCTTATTTGAATCTTAGGTGGTTAGAAGGTAGAGGCAATGAAGAGTTTGGCTTTTTGCTTTATAAAGCATGAAAGAGGGGTAAAGGGTTGACTCCTTAATTTTAAGCTTTTTTTTGAAGTAGACAAAAATCTTGGGTGTAGGGTGACAGGGTGAGAAGATTTCATTTCCTCATAGAAGACGGAGGAGAGGGTGGACAATTCCTGCATTTACAATGAAAATTTCTCCTTTTGCTGAAAATACTCTTTTTGTAATATCACTTTATTTCAATCTACATAGGATTAAAGGGTTTATTTTTTTAGACTTAGAAGCATTATTGTACTTATTGTTGTTTATATTATTAATACTCTTCTCTACAAAATGTGATCATTTAGAATATTTCTACATAAAATGTCAAAATTAGGTGATACAGCTATTTATAGACAAACATTGCCAAACTATATAATTAGATACTAGACTTTATTCAATATTGCTACTGTTGTGAAAATGACTGTGCTTAGTTACTTTCACTACATTTTTGCTGATTGACTTGACCACTTGAATCTCCTTTGTTTGGAGTGCTTTATTATTATGTATTTGCTTGAATGACTAATTAATTTCTCTTTCATTTGGAGGAAACCATTCTACCTTTGACTATAAAAATAGACTATGATGTGCATTATTATATTAACTAACTATAGCTATTTTTACTTATATGAGTCAAACTTAATGATCTTTTTTAAAAAAAATGTGCTGCTAGTATCTTAAAGACATAACTACTATAGAAAGTATTGTTAACTCTTTTTACTTCATTTTTTGCATTTAAATTACCAGATATATTTCACTTTACTAATGAGTGGTTTGATTTTAAATTAGCAGAGTTACCTAGTTATTCAAATATGATTTATGCATTTTTTACCATTTTAAAATAGTTTTACAATTGTTTTCGTAAAGCATCAAAATTAACTGAAGTTTGAATATGCATCCTTGCTTATTATAAACCATTAAAAATTGATTGCTGTATTTGTCCATTTTTCCCTTTCAGAAAGAGTAAATTTTTATTATAAAAGCGATATTCAAGCAAAAAAATGTAAATTATCACCTTAGAGACTCTGAATGACTCTTGCAGTTCTTATATCTTTGTATGTATTTATCTGTAGAGCAGAATAGCTCCTACTGGTAGCTCTACTGGGTAAACACATGTTTCGTTATTTTATCAAAATTTATGTAATCCAGTTGGTTAGGGGGTGATTTCTTTGAAGGAGTTATCCTAGTCTATTGTATACATAACACACCTAATGTATTTTTAATTCACATTAAAAATTGTATCCCAGATGTGGTGGCACACTTTTGTTTTTAT